TGACCACCTTGATTAGCATTTAATGGCTTGGAAGTGCCTGGGGGGAATCTTTTGTTGAGAGTGATTTGATGTGCCTGATTGTTTCCTCTCTGTTGTTTTGCTGTTGTAATTTTTGAGGTTTTTAATACTGGTAGCCAGATTTTGTTCATTTTCATGGTTTCCTCCTTTCTGTTGAAATTGTCCACATGCTTGTGGATTTCAATGGCTTCTCTGTGTAGTCTGACATGGTGGTTGTTGGAGTGGTCCAGCATTTCTGTGTTCTCAAATAATATGCTGTGTCCAGGTTGGTTCATCAGGTGCTCTGCTATGGCTGACTTCTCTGGTTGAAGTAGTCTGCAGTGCCTTTCATGTTCCTTGATTCGTGTTTGGGCAATGCTGCGTTTGGTGGTCCCTATGTAGACTTGTCCACAGCTGCATGGTACACGGTAGACTCCTGCAGAGGTGAGAGGATCCCTCTTGTCCTTTGCTGAACGAAGCATTTGTTGGATTTTCTTGGTGGGTTTGTAGATTGTTTGTATGTTGTGTTTCCTCATCAGCTTCCCTATGCGGTCAGTGGTTCCCTTGATGTATGGCAGGAACACTTTTCCTCTGGGTGGATCTTCATCGTGACTCTACATAAAATCTCCAACCATCACCCAAGTCAAAAAAGAAGCACCATTAAAGCCTTGGCAGACCGTGCAAAAAGAATCTGTGAACCCCACCTCCTCCAAGATGAACTGAACCACCTCAACTGGGCTCTACAGGCCAATGGATACTCCACCTCAGGCATCAGAAGAGCTGCAAGACCGAGAACAAGCCACGAGAGTCAAGACGAAGTTCCAGTAAAGGTGGTCCCAGTGGTGATCGGCAAACTGGGTGCAGTGCCTAAAGACCTTGGCCTACACTTAAGTACAATCGGCGCTGACAAAATTACCATCTGCCAGCTGCAGAAGGCCACCCTACTGGGATTGCATTGCATAATTCGCCGATACATCACATAGTCCTAGACACTGTGATCCAATACAATAACCAGCGTAGTGATCTTGTTTGCTGTGTACTAATCTTGTTGTGTTTCAAATAATAACTTTATATATATCCCACCCCATCCCCACAAAGGAACCCGGGGCAATTTACAAGACAGCAACAATGCAAATAAGAACAACATAAAATATACAATAACATAATATCAATTTCCCAAGGTCAAAACTTTCTAAGCATAATCCGGACAAAGTTTTTGGAATTATCTAAAGCAACCCTTCCACGCGGCTGTATAAAATCCACATTGAACTGGATTATATGGCAGTGTGGACTCAGATAATCCACTTCAAAGAAGATATTGTGGATTATCTGCCATGATAATCTGGGTTATAGGGTCACAAAGCCCCTGCTACACAACTATATAATCCTGATTATCAAATCAGATTATCAAATCCAGATTATCTGTTTCAAATTGGATTATATAAGTCTACACTGCCAGTTAATCTAGTACAAAACAGATAATATGGATTTTATACAGCTGTGTAGAAGAGGCCTTAGTATAGGTAACCAAAATGCTTGGGACTAGCAGAATATTTTGTATTTTAGATTTTGGAATATTTGCATTTGCAAAATCGAGCAATTTAATGCACTAACTTACTTACTTACTTCCCTCCCCTGTTCTGTGTATGTGTTTTGTGTGTGCATATATGTGTGTATAAATTTCTATATATATTTGTGTATCTGTGTGGATGTGTGTTTGTGTACGTATGTGGTTTTGCGCAGGCATTGTAATGTATTTTTTTGTTTTTTGGCTTTTTAAATCTCTTCTGCTGTTGTTTTTCAGTGTTTTTATGAGTGATGGTCACCCGTTGGCCTGAGAGGTGCATTGTTTCCAAATTTGGTGTCAATTTGTCAAGTGGTTTTTGAGTTATGTTAATCCTACAAACGAACATTACATTTTTATTTATATAGATTATTAATAAAGCAGCATCTCTTCATTTTTCCCCCTCTATAGTTTTATTCCTTTACACCTGCATTGTCTTTTTCTCAAGCTAAACATCCCTCAATGTTATCGTTCTGCCTGGT